ATTTTTGTAATAAAATAAAGTAAAAAAAAAAGTCAAAATCAGTTGAAATAAAGATATTAAGCTAAACTAAATATTTACATGCTAAGATATGTAAAATCTCGGAGAGGGTCAAGAATCACATGTCTACAACGGGTAGTAACATGCTCATAACAAGGAAGGAAATCAATTTGTAAGCAGACCGATAGTTGGCATAAAAGAAGTAGTAAAACAATTGAGTAAGTAATCAAGTTTAAGTACAGGAATATATTTATTTTGGGAAAGGATTCAGAGTAGGGCAAAACAAGGAAAAGAATCAATTAAACTTAACAGGCGAGTGAAATCAGAATTTCACAAAGGAAAAGTTTGAAATCAGTCACAAAATTGAAGGTCAATCAAAGAAGGAAATTCAGCACATAAATAGAGTGCACAAACACCAGACATGCGAGGGCAAACTATTGGCAAAAAGAAACAACATGAAATAATAGCACAAAATTAGCAGACAACAAACATTCGAAGCATGATAGTCATGTCGGTCAGGTCACATTGAACCAGTAGTGAAGAAACATAGAATATCAAAGCATGCAAAGATCTCACAGTAGCAGGTGAAGAAAACCCCCTTTGAAAATTTAGGGTTTCAAGCATAATCGAGTTTTAGAGAAGATAGAAATTTAGAATTAGAAGAATCACACAAAGGAATAAGAGATTTTGAAATAAAGAACTTCAAATCGAATCATGTACTTAAACGAACGGTCTTAGACCCAAAGCCATAGGATTTTTAACAATAGTAGAGTTTTAATAGAGGATAAACAAGCGAATCAGACAAAACTCAAACAGACAAGCATTCATCTAATAAACAGTCAAAAGAAATTAGGGCTTTTAAAATGCAAACCCAGGTAGAAGAACGATATAAGCAAACATAGCAAAATATGTCCAGAAAATCAGAGAAAAGTTTCGAAATAACTTAACAAGAAAACCCTAATCGGAAAAGATAAAGAGTTTTGAAAGCAGAGTTTTAAAAGAAACTTCGAGAAAAATGCTTAGAAGTTCAATGCAAACATAGATCTAAAGCAGATCTAAAAGAAATCAAAAGAACCTTAGAGATTAGGGTTTCAGAAGAACCCCAAATGATGAGAAAGGCCTTGAAAACCATCGATCTAAGCAGGAGAGTCAAAAGACTGACTCGAATAGCCATGGTTGGCCGGAGAAAGGTCAGAGACGACCGGAGAATAGTCATCGAGCAAAGACTGGACAAAACCCTTTCAGGATCTGGTCATAAGACCACAGAAACGAACACGTAGAAGCCATGAGAGGATGATACAGGTCTCCGATGACCTTGGAAGGCCATGGATTAGGGCGGATTAGGGTGGCGGCGGCTAGGGTTTGATGGGGTTGTAGAGAGAATTTGGGAGAGGAGGGTTTTCAGAGGCAGCGGATTATGAAAAATGAAAAGGGTTTGGGGGGCTTTGGGTTTAATTATGAAAGGATTAATGGGAGTCGTTGATCTAAACGATCAACGGCTGGGATTAAATGGGAGTCCGGGTGGGTCATTTAAATAGGTTGTGGGTTGGTTTGAATGGGAATTGGGTGACGGTATTTGGGATTCGAATTGGAGTTCAATTTGGGCTATAATCAAAATAAAATGGGGCTAACATTTAAATAGCCAATTTTTCTATTTTGATTTATAAAAAATAATAAAATAATTTTTGTAAATAAATTAAAGGTGCTAAAATAATTTATAGTACATAACTATCAAATTAAAAATACTGGACTCGATTTTTTTATAGATATAAACGCAATTAAACCTAAAAGAGGCTATATTGCAATAATATGCAATTTAGCTTTAAAAATACTAAATAAATTTGTAAAAATATGCAAAAAAATATTTTAGCCATATTTTAGTATAAAAACGAGAACCCAATACACGAATCACCAAAAATGACAATTTTGGAAGTATTATTGGGTTTTTTATGAATAAAATAGGGGAATAAATTGGTTTAAAAATCTTTAAAAAAAAGGAAAAATAATAAAACATTTGGACACACTTATATATGCATACATATGCTATTTTGAAAGTATTTTGCATATTGAAAATATATAGGGAAAAATTGGGTATCAACACTCAGGGCCAGGGGGAACCTTCATATAAACCTCCTCTTGGAGATCACCATGGAGGAAAGCATTGTTGACATCAAGCTGGAAGACAGTCCACCCCCACTTGACAGCAAGAGTGAGCAAGCATTTGATGGTGGTGAACTTGACAATAGGAGAGAAAGTTTCAGTAAAGTCAATGCCCTCCTTTTATGTGTCCCCTCTAATCACCAACCTGGCTTTATACCTTTCAATGGAGCCATCAGGTCTGTGTTTAATCTTATACACCCACTTACATAGGATAGCCTTCTTGTGAGGTGGGAGAGGTATAATATCCCATGTCTGGTTTGCCTCAACTGCCTGAAATTCCTTTAGCATTGCCTCTTGCCAAGCAGGTTGTGAAGCTGTCTGCTAGTAGAACCGAGGCTCACACACATGTATATCACTAGAGTAAACCTTGGAGGATGATATGAGAGGATCAAGGAGTTGAACAGAAGAACAAAGATAATTTTTAAGGTAAGTGGGTTGTTGTATAGTTCTGGTAGACTTCCTTAAAGGAGGAGGAGAAGGATATCTAGGTTCAATTGGAGGAATAGAAGTAGGACTAGTTTAATCAAAAAGTGAAGTGTCAGGAAAACTGACAGTAGTAGGAAGTGGGAATGTTTGGAGAATTATGAGCAGAGACAGAAGTTTGTGGAGAAACAGGATCCACAAAGTCTAAGGGAGAAGGAAACATGGAATATCCCAAAAAAAAACAGAAGTGATAGACCTGGATTGAAACTTATCCCTACCAACTTTAGGAAGTAGCAAAACATCGGCAACCAAAGGATTTTAGATGATCATAGGTTGGAGTAGTGTGATGAAGTTTCTCATAAGGAGAAACATTCTGAAGGACAGCTGAGGGCATTCTGTTTATGAGGTTGGTTGCAGTCAACACACAATCACCCCAATATTTGAGAGGAATGTTAGATTGGAACATGAGGGCCCTAGAAACTTCTAATAGTTGTTTGTGTTTTCTTTTCACAACTCCATTTTGTTGAGGAGTGTGAGGTATTGTGGTTTGATGTAAGATTCCTTGGCTAGAGAAAAACATAATGGCCTCAGAACTACTACCAAGTTCAAAAGCATTATCAGATCTAAAAGCTTGAATAGATGACTGAGATTGTACCCTAACCATGTTGACAAATGCTTTATGAATAGATAAGCATTGCTCTTACATGATAAAAGATGAGTCCAAGTGACTCTTGTATGATCATCAACTAGTGTTAGAAAATATCTGAAACCATTATATGTTTTAGTGTTATATGGACCCCAAATGTCAATGTGAATTAACTGGAAAGGAGCAGAAGAGTTTATAACACTATCAGAGAAAGTAATCTTTGTTGTCTGGCCATTGGGCATATAGGGCATAGAAAAGACTGTTTAGGTAATACTTTATCAGACAAATATGATATAGATCTCATTCTACTAAAAGGCATGTGCCCTAGTCTTTGGTGCCAAAATAAGTCCATTTTATTGATAGAAGGAGGGAGCTTACAAGTTGAAACATTGGCAATAGGATGAGCAAGTTGATTGGACTTATCAGAAGATACTGGTAATGAAACAAGTGTAGAAGAGTGATTACAAGTAGAAACACTAGTATTAGAATTAGAAACAGGTAAACTATTACAAGGAGAACAATGAGACATAGAAGTGGAGGAAATAGGGAACAGATTTACATCTGGATAGAGGTAGTAGAGCCAGCCAACAGCCTTACCAATTTCCAGTGGCCTCTTCAGAGAAGGGCCCTGTAAAGAACAGAATAATTTGGTAAAGAGTGCTGAACAATCCAATTGAGATATGAGTTGATGAACATATATCAAATTGAATTGGAAAGATGGCACAAGGAGGACATTCAGTAAAATTATATCATTCGTAAGATGCAAAGATCCAGTTGATATAACTTTAGCTTTATATCCATTAGGTAGAGTTACTAGAAAAGGTTTAATCAAAGGTTGTACATTGAATATAAGGTGCTTATGTGGTGTCATATGATTAGTTGCACCAGTATCTAGGATCCAAGGTTTTACACCTAATTGTGATGATGCACATGTATGAGAACCAACAGGAGCTACAGCATATCTACTAAACAAACCTGCAAAGTGAGCAAAGGCAGAGTTGTCCACATTTGCAGCTTCAGAAGTGTGACCAACTGACATTTGTGCTTGTTGAAACATTGTCAAAAGATGTTGGTATTGTTCTTTGGTTAACCCATGTGCTGAGGAGCTAGAAGTATGTGGAAAAGAGTTTGTAGGGGCAATAGTTGCATTCTCAGTTTGAACACATGAAGCAGACTTATTGTTTCTGGTGAATTTGAAATCTGGTGGAAATCCATGGAGTTTGTAACATTTATCCACACTGTGACCAGGTTTCTTGCAATACTTGCAAGTAAGAGATGTAGTACCCTTTCTAGTCTCAAAGTTGATTTTCTGAGTAAAGTTCCTATTAGTGTTAGAAGATGCAGGAGATACTAGGAAAGATGTTGTATCACCAGAGAAATTTGGTGCAGGAGATTGGGCTTCCTTTTGGCTTTCATCTTGTTGCAAAAGGGAATAGGCTTTACTAATGGGTGGAAGGGGGTTCATCAACATAATAGCACTTTTAACTGTGGAATAGGAATCATTCAGACCATTGAGAAATTGAAACAGTTGATGATCTTCAATGAACTTAGGTAGGGCCCCACACGAGCAAACAGACCCTACATAGGAGGAGTTTAATTCATCCCATAAACTTCTCATTTTTGTAAAGTAGGAAGCTATATCAGATGAACCCTGAGTAGTTGAGTTGATATCCCTCTGGATTTGGATGTACTTAGACCCATTCGACTGGCCAAATCTCTCATTAATGCCCTTCCAAATCTCTTTGGCAGTCTTAAAGCACATAACACTAGTGGCTATCTCCGTGGATACCGAGTTTGTTATCCAGGCTTTGACCATATCATTACACCGTTCCCAATATGGAAAATAAGGTGATTCAGTGGAGGGTTGTGGAACTCTCCCATCCAACATACTAAGCTTATTCTTTGCAGAAAGAGAAGTGAGCATACTACTACGCTAGAGAGCAAAACCACACCCATTGAATGGTACAGACACTAATTGACTGCCAGGATTATCATATGGATGGATATAGAAAGGATGCGAGGGATCTAGGGTAAATGGGACAAAATCATGTGTAGTATTCGAAGGTTCAGCGTTATCCGCTAAGCTACCCATAGTACAGAATACAGCAATAGCAGAATCTAGAGAAAACGATTAGATTTACTCTATATTTTTCAGGAAAATTATATTGACAAAACCATTGGTTACATGCAAGGTAAAATCTATAGAAACTCGAAGAATGTAGACCAGAAGAATGTTACCAGCCTTCTTCTAGAACCTGAAGAAGTATGGTCTCGTGAACACACAAACCCAAGAAGTCATTTGAGCCACGAAAACACCGTAAAACTTTGAGCAAACGAAAATTTCTGTCGCAACAAGCTGTCCGAAGTCAGAAATGAAGAAATCCCGAATTTCATCAGCTAAAATCAAAGATCTCCAGATCCGTTGTGAATATCGAACGAGTACCAAAATTGGTAGTATTTTTGAAAGAAATGCCATCAGAGTAGATCCTATAGCTACAGGAATCGAGATTCTTGTTCTGATACCATGTTAACCTGAGTTATATATGGGCTATGGAGAAATCATGGAAGACTCAGCCATAGATGAAGAGAGAAGAAGAGAGAAAATGAAGAATGAAAAATGAGTCGGTCCCTTTTGTTTTGACCAATCTGTTTTTCTCTTGTCCGTGTGGGCCTCTATATAGATATTATTAATTGAACTAAAACAGTAAGGAAAAAATCTGTAGTCTACAATACAAAGGATACCAGAAAACTGAAAACTGGGCCGGCTCACTTAATGGGCATGTTGTTTTCCTTTTGTCATCTTGGGCCGGAGACAGATCTGGGCTAACAAAGCCTCCCAAGTTCTATCAATATCCTTCTTAGTGGACCTTGTAAAGGCACAAATCACCGGCCGACACATATCCCTCTTCATCTACATAATTACATGTTGAGATATTCAATAATTAAAAATATTTCTTTTCATTAATATCTTAAACTTTTAGATGAGACCAGCCTTCAACATAATACTTAAGAACAAGGTATTGGGTTCAAATCTTACTGTTACACAATATATTACAACAATGTTTCTAACTTTTAGATACTCCCTCCCTTCCAACTTATGAGGTAAGGCTCGGATTAAGAGTGTCAAAATACTCTATTTTTAAGGTGAATTGGGAAAAAAGTTCTTTAAGTTTTAGGACATATAAATTCCTGATAAGTGCTAGTAGTAAGTCATAATAATAATTCAACTCATCAAAGAATCTCTCTAAGTTCCCGAATACTAGTAATGTTGGCACATGTATTGAAACATATATATGATCACACAAATAAAAATTACCAACTTCCTGTGCCACCAACTTCACAAGCTCAAAAGCAGCGTCAGAGGCAGTTGGAAAACCAGCCTCAATAACGTCAACACCAAGCTTAGCCAGCTGACGTACAATGTCTAGTTTTTCTTTACTAGTCATGGTGGCACCAGGGGACTGTTCTCCATCGCGAAGAGTTGTATCGAAATGTCATGACCCGGATTTTCCACCCTCGGGTGTCGTGATGGCGCCTACTCGTAGAAGCTAGGCATGCCACGAAATATAGAAATTCTAACTCTTTCATTTTAATCCTTTTAAACAACTTGAGTTAGCAGGTAATCAACATTTTAAAATTTGCGATAAACGGAATAAGCAGAAGACTTAAACGACTAAAAATAACCAAGCCAGTACTACAATGCCAATATACTCCTCTACCCGGCATCTGGTGTCACAATATTCACGGACGGACTAAGATTACTACAACAAATGTCTGAAAGAAATACAATCTGTCTCAAAATCTAATGAAAACAGAGTACATGATGAGATAGAAGAGAACACCGGGCCTGCGGACGTCTGCAGGACTACCTAGAGATCTCTGGATGGACTGAAGGCTGGCTCCCCAAGTGCTACTATCCAAATACTACTCCGGTATCTGCACATAGTGCAGAGTGTAGCATCAGCACTACCGACCCCATGTGCTGGTAAGTGCTTGGCCTAACCCCGGCGAGGTAGTGACGAGGCTAGGACCAGACTCCAGATAAACCTGTGCAGTTATATAATATACAGCGGAAAATAAACAGGAATAAACAATTTAAATGGGAGGGGATACATGCTACGGGGAAAAATGTCGAATCCTGCAGGAACTTAAGAGAAATATGAGAGAACAACTCAGAATCTACAACAAAACAATAATAATAATGTTGCAGCGTGCAACCTGACTCAATATAACATTTGTTGCGGCGTGCAACCCGATCCATATTTAGTATTCTTGCGGCGATCAACCCGATCCATATTTAATATTGTTGCGGCGTGCAACCCGATCCATATATAATATTGCTACGGCTTGTAACCCGATCCATATTTAATATACCCTTAGCAACAACCATACCAAGAGTCCCAGCAAGGGATAACCGATAAACTACACTATCTCGGCAAGGGATCAACAATAATCTACACTATTCCGGCAAGGGATTCGACAGTAAAAGTAAATACGTCCCGGCAAGGGAGAATCGGCTATAACCAATCTTAACTCAACTTATATTCATCTCAGCTAACACCAATATCAAATCATAAGTAATTTCCACGAGAACAAACTTAATCCTTACTCAATATCGAGAATCATCAATTAAAGCATTCGTAGTATCATTAAAGAACACAACAAATTTCAATATAAGACTCACGGTCATGCTCGACTCCAACGTATAGATACTCGTCATTATACCAATACGTCGTACTCAACAAGAAGCAAATACTTGGTCAGCATGGAATTGGGGGTAATTGGAGGGGTGTAATTACACTCTCCAATTCTCAAGGGGGAGGTGAGAATTGGTGGTAATTACACTGTGTAATTACAAAGTTGCCTTTTAGTTTCTTTCCTTTTTATTTTAATTCTTAATTCATTTTCTTTATAACCTTTTATTTTTATTATTTTAATTTTGTTATTTTATTTTTACTTTTTAATTTCTTTTCAAATTTTAAAATATACTTTCTTTGTACATTATTTATCTTTTATTTCTCTATCTTTACTTCTTGTGATTCCATGTAATTGCTTATATTTTATTTTTTTATTTATTTTATTATTCTATTTTTTTGAAACTACACCTCCTAATATTAGAAATAATGAGTCATTAATAAACTTGGCATATAATGAGTGATGCGATTAAAGTGGAACTTCGTAGTTAAATGTGGTTATAAACTTGTCGTGTTTCCTATCTTAAGTTGCAGTGAGACTTACTATTATTATGTTTGAATTTGACATAAGTTAAACTATTTTATTTTTTTGAATTTTTGAAATTGTGTTACATTCATGGTTCCAATTTACTTATTTTGTAGTATTGACTCACATTGCATGTTGTTCATTTTTTAGTTAGAATTGGTAGATTAGTTTTGTCAAATATTTGAATAATGTTATGACATTATATTTATAAATATTAATTTATTTTATCAAACATGAATTGATGATGTTCTTACAAAACGTATATTTTATTTAGTTTTTGTAAGTATCTAAACTAAACATTGTTAATTTAAAATATATAAATATAAATCATTTTAATAATATTAGTTATAAATAGATGATTATTAATAAATGTATATTCACGAAAAAATATACATCTTAAATACCAAATATATTATCATTTATACTTATAAAATCTTATAGGTATATATTTATTATATTAATATTTTGTTTTGATAATTATTTAATTTAAAATTTAATCTAACTGTGTAATTACACTTGTGCAACCAAACAATAAACTTGTAATTACACTGTAATTACACTATGACAAACAAACAGGCTATCGTAATTATACAACTGTGTAATTACTAGGCTGTGTAATTACAACCCTAGTAATTACACGAATTCCAATTATAATGTGGCTTTCCAAACAGACTCTAAATGAATCAATTCGAATGCATAAAAATGAATTTTCCAAAGTTTTACCCAAAGAGTCAAAAACCGCCTCCGGGCCCACATGGTCAAAATTCGAGGTTCGAACCAAAACCCGATTACCCGTTCCCCCACGAACTCAAATATATAATTTATTTTGAAATCGGACCTCAAATCGAGGTCCAAATCCCCAATTTTTGAAAAACCTAGGTTCTACCAAAAAGCACCCAATTTCACCCATGAAAATCATTGATTTGAAGTTGAAATCATGTTAAAAGATGTTAAGAATTGAAGGAAGTTAGTTAAAATTGACATACAATTGATTTGGAGAAGAAGAAATCTTTGAAAAATCGCCTAAGTGTGTTTATGTTTTGAGAGAATATAAAAATGGGTTAAATATTCGGCTAAGTATAAAAGTTGCAGGTCTCAGATGTGGGAATTGCAAACAGGGGTTCGAAATTGCGAATCCCGATCTCTGCTGATATGGGAAATGCGAAACAGGGTTCGCATATGTGAACCCTTAAGAATTGCTGAACCTTCGCATTTGCGAAAAGGAGGTCGCATTTGCGACTCCCGCATTTGTGACGCATAGGCCGCATTTGAGATCATAGAGGTTTTGGGTGGGTGTCGCATTTGCGACGGTTTCTTCGCATTTGCGAAGAAGGCTGCCCAGGCCACCTCTCGCATTTGCGATGCATGGCTCGCATTTGTGAGACAGGCTTCGCAAATGCGAAGCCTGCAGGTCTGAAACACACCAGCAAATTGTTAAGTTCAAAATGCACCCCGTGACCTCTCAAAAACTCACCCGAGCCCTCGGGGCTCCAAACTAAATATACACACAACCTCAAAAATACACTACGAACTTATTCGTGCACTCAATCACCAAAATAACATCATGAACATCGAATTAAACCTCAAGATCAATGAAATTTCTCAAAACTTCTTTAAACATCAAATTTGCATTTAGTGTCTGAATCACGTCAAACGGGTTCCGTTTCTGACCAAACTTCACAGAATTATCTTAAATCATATATAGGACCTGTACCAGGCACCAGAACCAAAATACGGGCCCGATACCAACATGTTCTAATCAAATTTCGTTTCCAAATCCTTTAAACAATTCCATAAAATAATTTTCTTTAAAAAATTCATTTCTCGGGCTTGGGACCTCGGAATTTGATTCCGGGCATATGCCCAAGTCCTATATTTTCCTACGGAGCCTCCGGGACCGTCAAATCACTGGTCCGAGTCCGTTTACCCAAAACGTTGGCCGAAGTCAAATTAATTCATTTTATAGTCAAAATTTATCATTTTTCACGGATTTTCACATATTGGCTTTCCGGCTACGCGCCGGACTATGCACGCAATTCGAGGTGATGCTAAAAGAGGTTTTTATGGCCCGAACACAGAATTCATTTTAAAAATTTAAAGGTCATCACATTCTCCACCTCTAAAACAACCGTTCGTCCTCGAACGGACAGAAGAAGGAAGTACCTGAGTCGGGGAAAAGATGGGGATTACGGCTCTGCATATCGGACTCGGACTCCCAGGTCGATGCCTCAGGAGGCTGACCTCTTCACTGAACACGAACAGAAGGAAAACTCTTCGACCTCAACTGACGAACCTGCCGGTCTGAATAGCTATCGGCTCCTCCTCATAAGACAAGTCCTTGTCCAACGAGACAGTGCTGAAATCTAACACGTGGGATGGATCACCGTAATACCTCCAAATCATGGACACATGAAACACTGGATACACGGCTGATAAGCTCGGCGGCAATGCAAGTCTATAAGCCACCTCTCCCACTCGATCAAGAATCTCGAACGGGCCAATGAACCTAGGGCTAAGCTTGCCCTTCTTCCCAAATCTCATCACGCCCTTCATAGGCAACACTCGAAGCAATACCCGCTCACCGACCATGAATGTCAAATCACGAACATTGCGGTCGGCATAGCTCTTTTGCCTGGAGTGAGCTGTACAAAGCCTATCCTGAATAATCCTGACCTTGTCCAAGGCATCTTGAACCAGAGCCGTACCCAACAACCGAGCCTCCACCGGCTCAAACCATCCAACTGGAGGACCGACACCGTCTACCATATAAAGCCTCTAAGGGAGCCATCTGAATACTCGACTGGTAGCTGTTGTTGTAGGCAAACTCCGCTAAAGGCAAAAACTGATCCTACGAGCCTCCAAAGTCAATGACACAAGCTCAGAGCATATCCTCCAAAATCTGAATGGTCCGCTCGGACTGCCCATCCGCCTGAGGATGAAACGTTGTGCTCAACTCAACCCGTGTACCCAACTTTCGCTGAACTGCTCTCCAGAAATGTGAGGTAAACTGCGTACCTCGATCCGAAATGATAGACACGGGCACACCATGAAGACGAACAATCTTCCGAATATAGATCTCAGCTAACCTCTCGGAAGAATAGGAGATTGCCACAGGAATGCTGACTTGGTCAGCCTATCAACAATGACCCACACTGCATCGAACTTCTTCTGAGTCTGTGGGAGTCCAGCAACAAAGTCCATAGTGATACGCTCCCACTTCCACTCG